AACTTTGTATTTTTGTTCTGCATTTTGACTGCATTCACTGAGAGAACAAATCTTTCCATTCTTTCTCATTTCAGAATAACATTGACTCAACACTGTTTTTCCAGTGCTTACCCCAAATCAATCACCAATATAAATGCTACAAATACTTACCAGAGAGAAAGTTCCTGTCCATGAGTTTACATATTAGCTTACTATTATGGTATAAGAAATGGCAAAGAAAGACTAAGAAAATATTGAAGAAAAATATAGATGTATAGAATTGAGGTGGAGGCTTCAATGTATGTCAAAACAAGTTTCAAAATATAACTGAAAAATAGAAGAGTTCATTTTTTGGTAATGAACAAATGCTTCATAATTTACATGATTGATAGGTTTTAGCTTTCACATATCAGGTTTGCTTATGAAGAAATATATAGAGGCTGGCGCTCTGGCATAGTGGGTAAAGCCGCTGCCTGCAATGCTGGCATCCTATATGGGCACTGGCTCAAGTCCCAGCTGCTCCACTTCCAATCCAGCTCTCTGCTGTGGTCTAGGAAAGCAGAAGATGGCCCAAGTGCTTGGGCCCCTGTACCCGTGTGGGAATAATTTTTTTTTTAAAGTGGCAGGAAATGTTTTCCTTCAACTCACTGACAATCATTTTCTCCTATTTAAGATTACCACACATGTCCCACACCTAGGCCATTTTTTTTTTCTTTCCTAACACCCTTTGCCAGTTTCCCATTGCTTTCAGTACTTCCAAGTTCCCCAAAGTCATTATCAATAATCTTATCTATTTCATCATTGGTCATTGCCCTTAGGTACACAGTGAAAATCCCTGAGGCCTTTTTTGTTCCATAGTAATATGGAGAGGATGGGGAGTATTGGTGGATAGGAAACTACTGATCCATGAAATCCTAAAATATGTACGACAACCATACCCAAGAAAGAACTGTCCGCATCCTTCAAAATGTTTAAAGTCCTCACTGAATATAAAGTAGGCAGAAAGCCTATTTATCTTAGTATAGAACTTTATCATTTTTGCACTGTGTTACTAAAGACAATTTTCCATAAGTGTAACTTCCTTGTAAATTGAGGGAACGATTATTTTGTTCAAAATTTTACCAGGAATTGTTCACCATTCGGGGGAAAAAAAAAACAGTCTGACAATGACAATTCTTTAAGCCTTGCAAGGATGAGGAATCTTTTTTCTGCCAAGGATAGTTTGGATATTTATAAACATGATTTGCAGGTCACACAAAATTATCAACCTAAAATGAGCCTGCTATAGATTTATTGAATTTCGAGTCCCACCTGCAGTTGCCTTGACAGCACCACACAAAACGATTCTGCAGGCCTTTTACAGCCCATGGGCCGGAGAGTCCCCAGCCCACCCCTGCTAAAGGTATTTGAAATGTCAATCCTTCTGATAATCAGTCTGCAATTTCAGTTGTCAAATGACTTTCTGTATTGTTGCAATAAGCCAGTTACTAATGATCACCTCACTGTTTTTTAATATTGTCCTATCTGACCACTTATGTATTTAAAGACATGTTTATTTTCTAATAAAACATTTATTTCACCTTTATGTTTCAATTAGAACAGTTTGTTGATTTTTAAAATTATGTTAATGCACAGAGTTTGTTGCCTATGAATCTCATTTCAGGATTTCAGGAAATACAGGACATTTTACAAAATATTTGTTTTACAGAAAGGTAGATTTCAGAAACCAAGTGGACTTTAATTCAAAAAACATTTCCTTTTTTTATTTACTTGAAAGGTAGAGTTAGATAGGGAGAGAGAGAAAGAATTCTTTCATTCACTGGTTCACTCCTCAAACGGCCCACTAGTGCCAGGGGTCAGGAGCTGCTTCTGGGTCTCCCATATGGGTGCAGGGGCCCAAGCACTTGGGCAGGCTTCCATTGCTTTCACTGGTGCAGTAGCAGGGAGCTGGATTGGAGGTGCAGCAGCCAGGACATAAACTGGCACCCATGTGGGATGCCAGAATTGCAGGCTTAACCCAGTGCACCACAACACTGGCCCACAACATTTCTTGAGCACTGCTAGGTGCCCGGTACCATCCTCCAGGCTTGGAATATGTAAGAGAACAAAACTGATGATGAAGTTTGGAGTTGCAAACTCTTTGAACTCCTGTGTCTGATTCGTTCCTTATCACAATCCTCTTGAGGAAGGTCCTTGTTAACCTTCAGTTAAGTGAGGGAAGGGAGATTCAGGAAGTTCTAGGTGAAAGGTCACTGCAAAGCACACCAAACACTGGAGTTAGGGAGGTTTACTGTCGGGTGGGGGAAACCTGATGGGCTGCCTCCCCATGCATGAGAGCACAGCAGCCTGTAATAGGGAGAATCGGTCTTAGATAGCTTTGTAGAGGAAAGGAGGTGGGAGCAGCAAATCCTATTAGGGCAGAGGTGCAGCTGGCGCCCGTGTTGGGCCATTTGGTCACCTGACTTCTAGTGAGCCAGGCAGAGCTTAGGAAGCTGGTACCATTTTACTAACACGGGGTAACTGGCGCAGCATCATTGCCCCAGTCGGTGGCAGACCTAGGATTCCAAGTCCTACGCTCATTGCACTCTAACTCCTTGGAAATAAGGATAGGATAGTCTGATGGAGCTTGATAAGATAAAGTAGAAGGAATCTCCATGACAATGTGTAAAAATCGTAGTTGGACGCACTGTGAAATTTTGAAGCTAGAACTGATGTTGATGATTTTATACTTGTAGGTATTTTTACTTGAAAGAGGAAAGAGTGTATAAAATCCAAGATGTCAGGTAGGAGGCATATTTAATAGTCCAGGTAATGGGGCTGGGGGTTGTGGCCTAGCAGGTGGAGCCACCGCCTGCAGTGTTGGCATCCATATGTGCGCTGGTTTGAGACCTGGCTGCTCCACTTCCATTCCAGCTCTCTGCTACGGCCTGGGAAAGCAGTAGGAGATGGCCTAACTCTTTGGGCCTCTGCGCCACATTAGAGACCTGGAAGAGGCTCCCAATCGGCGCAGCTCCGGCTGTTGCGGCCAGTTGGAGAGTGGACCAGCAGATGGAGGATCTCTCTCTCTCTGACTCTACTTCTCTCTGTATAACTCTGACTTTCAAATAAATAAATAAATCTTAAAAAATAGTCCAGGTAACTGAAGGCTAAAGTATAGGCCAGTGATTGTCCACCTGTCCATCTACCTAGGCAAACCCACCTGTGTGCTCCAGAAATATATCAGCTATGATAATCCAGTGCTCACAAAATGAGTCCTTACTAGAAGTAAATAGTCACTCTCTGATCTTAGGAAACTTAGAAAAACGCTGGAAAATTACAGATCAACAAAAAAGATGTCACAAGATAAAGGACAACTAGCAAACAGTATGGCCAAGAGCCATGAATCTGAAGGCAAGATACATGGTTGCGGCTAGAGCAGCGTAAAATAAGTGGGGGAAAAAAAATCAATGAATTAGCCATTTTTCTGGACGTTCTAATCCATTTTTCTTACATACAGCCTGAGAGAACTGCTTAAGATCCCCACCTGTCACTCCCTTGCCTAAAACCCATCCAGATGGTTATCACTGCCCTCCGGCTATCTGGTTTACCAGCTGCTTCCTATGTTCTAGCCTCTGCCCCATCATCTCTGGGAACTCCACTCATCCACACGGCCCACGTGCACCTACTGGGCACTTGTAAAATGGCTAGCCTAAATGGAGATGTTTTTTAGGAGCCAGTGCTGTAGCACAGCAGGTAAAGCCGATGCCTGCAGTGCCGGCATCCCAGGTGGGTGCCGGTTGGAGTCCTGGCTGCTCCTCTTCCGATCCGGCTCTCTGCTGTGGCCTGGGACAGCAGAAGATGGCCCATAGACCTTGGGGCCCTGCACCCGCATGGGAGACCCAGAGGAAGCACTGGGCTCCGGATCTGCGGTGCAGATCCAGCCATTGCAGCCAACTGGGGAGTGAACCAGCAAATGGAACTCCCCCCCCCCACCGCCCACCTCTCCTCTCTCTGTATAACTCTGACTTTCAAGTAAAATGAATAAATCTTCAAGTAGATAAATGGAGATTTTTTTTAAAGAGTTAAATATACATTGGCTTTCAAGGATGTAGTTATTACAGGAAAAGAAAAACTGTGAGAGTATCTTAGTTATAGATTTATATTATCAGATGGAACATGCTTCATAGTTGAGTTAAATACCGTTAACATTAAACTCATCTATTTTTCACTTTAATATGACCACAACAAAACTGAAATATACGTATGCGGGCGGCCAGCGCTGCAGCCCAGCGGGTTCAGCATCCCGGTCCCATATCCGATTGCCAGCCCCCCCTACCCAGCTTCTGCTAATGCGCCTGGGAAAGCAGCCAAGACCCAGGACAAGAGCCCCTGCCATCCTCAACGAGCTTAGGCCTGGCTGTTGTGGCCACGTGGGAGTAAACCAGCAGACGGAAGATCTCACTCTGCCTTTCGAATAAAAGATAAATCTTAAACAACACGCGCACATACACACGGGTCCAGAAACGTTTCTTTGGGGACACTTCTCTCTCCCAGCGCCCCATTTCAGCCTGAGTCTGAGCGCCCTGCTTCTCTGAGGGCGACACCGCTCCCCCTCTGTTAACTCCTCCATCTGACCTTGCTTTTCAACCTGAACCGCACCACACCCTCCTCGAGGGTGTCCCGAGGGAGGAGAACCCAACAGACACAGTTCAACGTATTTTCTATCCTCAGCCGCCCGTTTTCTGGCCCGCGTCCCCGACTAGACTGGAAACTCCTAGAGGACAGAGACGCTCGGAGCCGCGCTGTCGCCGACGTTTCGTCATCCAAGCCCGGCACAGAGCAGCCTCCCTCCCCCTAACGAAGGAGCGGCGGGACTGGGTTGGTCAGAGAACCCGAAAACAAACGTTCGAGTGCCGAGGGGGTTCCGCGGGGCCAGGCAGAGCTGGGGGTGCAGAGGAGTGAGGCGGGGCTCGGAGGCGGCTCGGGGGCGCCAGCGGGGCGTGCCCGCGCACCGCGGGGCCGGGGAGGGGCGGGGGACTCACCAGACCGTGGTCGATCTCGGCGTCGGGCCGTTTGGCAGAGGGCGGCACGTATTCGGCATAGCGCAGCCCCTCGCCGGCGGGGGCGACGCCAGCCCGAGCAGCCATGGCGAGGCGGCCCCTGAAGACGCGGAGCGCCGCAGCGCCGTCTACGAGGCGGCCTCAGGGACAAACTACTGAGGGCGCGCTCGTTTGCAGGTCCAGGTGAGGATGCGTCCGCGGCGCCGCCGAAGGCGGAGCCAGCCCGGGAAGAGCTTGTTCCCACCCAGCCTTGGGCAATTTATCCCAACGAAGCCCAGGGTCGTTTTCAACGCCGTGGGACGGTGGAGATTTTTCCTTTGTTTCAGATTTGGCAAGCCAAGGCCATCCCAGGACCTCCTGGGGAACTGCAGGGTGGGGCCTGGCACTCTTCCTAGGCTGCCCTGGGGCCTCGGCTGAAGCCTGTGAGGAGATATTGGTCTGGTCAGCTGCAACCAGGAGACTCAGGGGCCCCGCTGTAGTGCCTAGCCCCTGCCCGAGGGATCCCGGCCCAGGCCCAACACCTGAGCAAACTTGTGTTTAAACCCACCGATTGTCTCATTCAGGAGTGTCATTGAGACGTGTTGTGTCCTCCACTCCCAAATGAAGTTACAGAGAAGAAATTCATAAACCAGGAAACAAATTTCACTCCTCACAGACGGTTTTGTTCTCTTTTGGGTCTAGAAAGACTATTTGGTCTTTAGGTTATTTATTTACTTATTTGAGAGACTAAGAGCGCTGCCATTTGAAGGTTCACGCCCAAATGCTTGCAAACAGCTGGCCGTGAAGGCAGGAGCCAGGAATTCAGTCCAGGTCTACCACGTGGGCAGGGACCCAATTACCTGCACCATCATCACCCAGGGGCCACTTTAGCAGGAAGCTGGAATGGGGATCCACCGCAGGAGCTGGGGTTCCAGTGCATTCCAGTATGGGATGCAGCCTCCTGAATGCAGCCAATGGTATACTACACTAACGAAAATAGTTGTAACCACAGTGCCGTCGGAGTCCAAGGGATGGAATGGCCACTTTGAACCAAGTCATCAGAGAAGGTTTGGTAGAAGCTTTGCATTGAGATGGTCAGTAATGAATGGGTAAGATTTGTTTAGATGGGAGAGGAATATGGGCAGAAATTTCAATTGGAAATAGACGCGAAAACATGGAAAAGATAGAACTCCATCTGGGTCTCCCCTGAGTGGCAGGGACCCACGTATTTCCACTGCTTCCCTAGGTTCGTAAGTAGGGAACTGGATGGTAAGTGGAGTAGCCAGGACTCCAACCGGTGGTCCCAAATGGGAAGCCAATGTCATAAGCAGTGACTTAACCCACTATACCCCAGCGGTGGTTCCCTGACTCACAATTAATAAAGACACTACTGAACTAAGCAAACAGATTGGAGTGGAGCAGACAGGTTAATGATTCATTCATCTGCTCATTCATTTATTCAATAAATATTTATTGAGTACCTGTTAGGTATCAGGCACTATGCTAGGTATTGGGTCTATGACAAGCAAACAAATAAGGCCTCTGATTCCTTGGAGGTTTACGATGTACCCTGGCAGCTGGGCCCTAGCAGTCACAGGCTGCTAGCCTGGAGCAAATGAGCAATTAGAGCAAGACAAGACCCAGCTGAGCTGTGGTTCCTCTTAGCAGCTGCTGCCCCTGCCCAGGAGTTGGAGGGAATGTCCCAGAGCAAAAGCCAGGAAGTGGAGGAGGATAAGTGGGCCTGGGAGAGGACAGCAAGGCAGAGGAGAGGTGGGTTCAGTGGGGTACGTTTCGGCTCAGACCTCAACCTACAGATAGCTGACTGTTTTAGACTTGACTCCTGTTCCAAATCGAAGAAGCAGCCAATTTTAAAGGGAATCTCATCCACAAACACTACTCAGTTCTCAGCTCACTCTTTGCTGCTGCTTTTTTTAAGATTTATTTTATTTATTTTGAAAGTCAGAGTTACCGAGAGGTCTTGCATCCACTGGTTCACTCTCCCTACGGCCGCAATGGCCAGAGCTATGCCAACCTGAAGCCAGGAGCCAGGAGCTTCTTCTGGGTCTCCCACATGTGTGCAGGGGCCCAAAGACTTGGCCATCTTCCACTGCTATCCCAGGCCATAGCAGAGAGCCGGATCCGAAGAGGAGCAGCTGGGACTCAGACCGACGCCCACATGGGATGCCAAGGTTCCAGGCCAGGGCTTTAACCCACTGTGCCACGGCGCCGCCCCAGTGTGCTCACTCTTAACCAGCAAAGAAGGATGGAAGCAAAGGCAATGAAGTCTTTTTCTCTCCCCATTAGGATTTCTTTCTGACTTAGCTGTAATCATTTTTCTGGAATCCATGAGAACAAAAAAATGCTTTTTTGAAACCAAAAGGAAAGCCACATTAAATTTTCACTGGTCTACTTATATTAGTTATGCCATTCCAAAGATAAATTACATTATGTGCAACAGACTTTGTAAAAGAAAGACACATTGGTAAAACATCTTACAAACATCTCAGAGTATTTAGGGGTGGGCATTTGGCCTAGCAGTTAGGATGCTCATCCCATGTTGGAATACCTGGGGTTGATATCCCAGCTGTGGCTTCTGGTTACAGCTTTCTGATAATGCAGACCCAGGGAGACAGAAGTAATGGCGCCAGTAGTTGAATTCCTACTGTTCACACCAGAAACCAAGATTGAATTTCCAGCTCCTGGGTTCACATCCTGGCCATTGAGGGCATTTGGGGAGTGAACCAGTGTAGGGAGCTCTGTCTGCCTCTCAAATAAATAAATAACAATTTTAAAAAATATATTTTATAATCTTATTATAAGGACTTGGGCAAAAAAAATTGACCTCTTTGTGTCTGTTTCCTCATCAATAAAGTGATAAGAAGATAATAATAAGAGCCCCTTCCTTCTGAGTTGACTTTTGCAAAGTTCATTGAACAGTGCTCGATATTGAGGAAGTTCTACCAAGTCGTCAGTTACTATTTTCAGTTATCTGTTTCACCTATTTCTCTGTATATTTTCTTCTCACTGCCCTACCAACAGTTGTGCTGACCCCCAAGTAATTGTCATATCTTTAAAATAATACAATTTCATTAGATGTTATGTAGTGGAAGGGGAAATTGTTTTGTGAAAATGAAATGAAAAGCCTTAGAAAAACTTGATAAAAACAAGTTGTTTTTTTTTTTTTTTTAAATAAAAACTGTTGAATAGTGGGCATGGGAAGAGAATCACAAAACAACTGAATGTGATTCTCCCCTTGTTTTGCTTTTAAATATCTTGTTTCCCTTCATTTTACACAAATCCAAATTAGGAACCATAGAGGATGGATTACCGTTGTGGAAGAGATCTGAGGCGGAACTGAATAGAGGGAGCTAAATACAGAAAAGAGGCTTTGGCCCTGCAGATATTAAAAATAGAGTACATGAATAGATATACAGTCCATTTTATTTTAAAGTTCCAAAGGGGCATGCCAGTGCTGTGGCATAGCAGGTAAAGCAGCTGCCTGTAGTGCTGCACTCCTCATGGGCACTGGTTCGAGTCCCTGCTGCTCAACTTCTGATCCAACTCTCTGCTGTGGCCTGTAAAAGCAGTAAAAGATGGCCCAAGTCCTTGGGCCCCTCCACCCACATGGGAGATCTAGAAGGAGCTCCTGGCTCTTGGCTTCAGATTGGCCCATCTCTGGCCATTGTGGCCGTTTGGAGAGTGAACCAGTGGATGGAAGATTGATCTCTCTCTCTCTCTCTCCTGTCTCAAAAGGCAAAGGAACATTAGGGAAGAAAAGTCTTAAAACCTCTGCAGGAAAGATTAAAAAAAAAGAGTTGAGAAAAAGTGACACCATGGGTTAAACACTCATATTTGTTCCTCTAAACTCAGCAGTTTAGTCCCCCAAAGTCTTATGTTAAAGATACTAAGTGGATAGAAACTTATTTGAATTATGGTGCTTAGAGGTACAGACTTGGAAAGTGATTACATTGGATTAGATCACTAATTGAATCCTGGTGACTTTATAAGGAGAGAGACAAATCCACACAAACACATGTATTCCCTGTCTCTTGCCATGTGATGCTCTGGGCCACCTCAGGACTCTACTAGCAAGAACTCCATCACCAGAGGCTGGATCAATGGATCCTATCCAGTCTTGGACTGTGAACCTCCAAAACCATGAACCAAATATAACCTTTTGCCTTCATATTTCTGTATAGTAACAAAAAGCTGATTAATACAAGTTATTTATACCTAATGCTTAAAAATAATATGTAAAGTGTATGTCATTACCATTTGGACTACATTTAGCTTTTTCAGTTGACCCACTGACTACTCTCCTGGTCTGGTCAGAAAAGAGACTCAGGGCTGGTACTATGGCACAGTGGGTTAAGGCCCTGGCCTGAAGCATCAGCATCCCATATAGGTGCTGGTTCTGGTCCCAGCTGCTCCTCTTCTGATCCGGCTCTCCTCTGTGGCCTGGGATAGTAGTAGAGGATGGCCCAGGTCTTTGGGCCCCTGCACCCACGTGGGAGACCTGGAAGAAACTCCTGGCTCCTAGCTTCAGATCAGTGTAGCTCTGGCTGTTGCGGCCATCTGGGGAGTGAACCAGCAGATGGAAGACCTCTCTCTGACTCTACTGACTCTACCTCTCTCTGTAACACAGTCTTTCAAATAAATAAAGTAAATCTTAAAAAAAAAAAAAAAAGGAAAGAGACTCTACTGCATGACAAAGTACACTAGGCACAGAGGAGGACTAGAATATTCAAGGAAGGAGTGAGAGAAACTAGGCATCTAGCTAACAATAGAAGGAGGAATACATATTTGCTTGATTAATGAGAAAGACATGACTTTGGGGGAAACAAGTTATGAGAAAGCACAAAGTTATGTGAACAGTACTAAAAGTCATTCAGTTGTTCACAAGTTTGAAAAGTAAAAAAGAGAAGAAGATGGGTGAGGGAGGAACAAATAAAGGCCAGATAAGGGCTTTTTAAAAAGCTATTTTTAAAAAGATTTATTTATGTATTTGAAAGGCAGAGTTACAGAGAGGCAGAGAGAGAGAGAAAGTCTTCCATCTGCTAGGTCACTCCCCAAATGACCACAATGGCCAGAGCTGGGCAAATCCAAAGCCAGGAGCCAGGAGCCTCTTCCAGGTTTCCCACACAGGTCCAAGGGTCCAAACACTTTGGCCGTCTTTCATTG